CAAGTAAGTAAGTAGAGCCAGTTTGGTCTAGCGGTTAAGGCACCAGTCTAGAAACCAGAAGACTGAGTTCTAGTCCTGCCTTAACATGAAAGCCAGCTGGGTGACTTTGGGCCAGTTGCTCTCAGCCAAACTCGCCTCACAGGGTTGTTGTTGTGGGGAAAATAGGAGGATGAAGGAGTATTACGTATGTTCACCACCTTGAGTTATTTATAAAAAATAATAAAGGCAGGATAAAAAAAATAAAAAAAATAAAAAAAGTAACAGGAAGAACACACAGTAGTCAATAAACAGTCTGAGAGCACAGGCCAGGAGATCATATCAGTGAAGTAAGGGAAAAACAGGTATCACAACAGTGAAATCGGATATAAGAAAAACAGGACCTAAGATTTAAATCAGAATTTTCAAGAATGAGAAACTGCAGTTACTGAATTTCAGCAATCAGAAAGTTTTTGAAACAGTATAACTGGCAGTTGTCATGCCTCTTATCTATCCCAGCTCTTTCTCTGTTTCTAAACACTTCAGGAAGTCTAGTTCTTTCTTTCTCCCTGCTCTCCAAGCTGCCTCCTCAGGGTCCAACTCTGCTGTCAACACGTATATACCTTTGCTCTCATAAATCTGGAGCGTTCCACATTTTTCCAGCTCCAGGTAAGGTAAGCCACCTGGCATGTTCATAACTCTTGCTTGATCTTGGATTAGACAGTGGTGTTTCTTGAGCACCCTCCTTTGATTCAACTTAATTCTCATCAGAGCTAAAAAATTCATGGCCATCATCAGCTATAGTCTGAATAGTGATCTTTCTGAACCATCTCCTTTTCATCAGATTTGTCTAAATCAAACTGATTCTTGACAAATGCTAGCAGACTAATTTTTGTAGTTTGATAACAATAAATTATTATATGTCCCCCTTGCAATATTGCTGAATTTCTCACAATAAGAATCAAAATATGTTTATATTAAATTTTCAGTTTCCAAGGAATGGGAGCACCATTATTCCATGCAGCTCACTATATTAAACCACATTTTTTATTTAACATTCACCTTGAATTGAAAGCAATTGGAAAGCAAACTAATGACATGAATATTGTTATCATTCTTCTCTGAAAAATCTTATACCTTTCAACATGCTGTACTCACATCATCAGAAAATCTCTAAAGTAAAGATGACCATCTGTTTCTAATTAAACAACCAAAAAAATATAATTATGTAGATATTAAACACATAAGACATCTATGTTAGCTTGCTTACAATTCCAGGTGTAAGTCTTGTCCTTCAGTAAACATTTTATTTTACAGAATGGCAAATATTCCTTTTATCCCAATTGGGAAAAGTGCTAGTGAAAGCAAAAATGATTGGACATAGGAATCTATTTTAATAATAATTTAACATAAACTTCCAGTTTAAGAGACAAATGGAATAAAGGGGTGCCTGTAAAAGCAGAATGTCAATTAATCTAAATGAGATTTTAGATGTGCACATCTTACCTACTTTACAAATGTGTAAAATGGGAATGGTATTATATACACGTGCAGAACATACAGGGTACAGACATTTTATCCATTGCATCCAACGTCTGCTAAACCAAGGCCTTTAAATCAAGGATATGTTGTATACGCACATACACAGACACAGAGACACACTATGACTTAGCTTTGAAAAGATGAATCGCTACAAAGGATAATTGTTTTGTTAAGACTGTAATCCTCTGCAAAATTAGCTAAACCCTATTGAATATACTGGAGTTTATCTATTGCTAAATATACATATGTTTGTGCTGCAAGGAGTCTTAACTGATATATAAAGATATAAAGAAGCAAAAAAACAGCTTTTGAATGGATGTAAATACTGCAATTGGTTATTCAACCTAACTTATTTTCAGTGGGCTTTTGTTTTGTTCTGGTAATTCCTTCTGCTCTAAGAAATGAAGTTGGTAAGGCAGGAACCAGCATTTTCTAGGCGAGGAAGAATTACTATGTCAACATAGATCAACTGCTTCTCAAGGCCAACAAAAGAATGGCAAAATATCCGTTGACTTGGAAAAGCAGGAGGAAGCGGCTTAGAATTCAAATCCTGGAATACAGGCTTTTATATAGGTTTTGCTTGTTGTGTACTGTAGTACGCAGATATTTTGTGTGTACAACTGACTTTGTTTTTGTTTGCAATAAAAGAAAGAGAACTATTCTAAATGTGTCGTGTCTATGAACCTTTTGCTGAGAAGCTAGATACAAGGTTGTCCAGAGAATTGAGATTTACTGCCACATCCATGTGAAACCTGCTAATTGGTTAACAAATCATAAAACAAAGTACAGTAATGCATTTTAAAAAAATTTTCACCCCAAATCAGAATGCATATGAGAAGGAAGAAAGAGTAACCAACAAACCTCCGTATGACACTTTTACTTGGGCAAGTTAGAAGTCTAGAGCGTCTAAACCCTTAACCAAAAATATGAGCCAGCATAACAAGTCATTCTCCTGGAAGTTTTCTGAAGAAAAATAAAATTATTTGCTATCACCTCTCTAAGCAATGATGGTGATTCTGCACAGCAACAAGTGTTATGTACACCCTCAACCTGAGGTATGCCAAATGTGTTAGATTTCCCTAGATAGCCCACCCAAAAGTCTGGAGGGCTTCAGTTTGGAGAAAGCAGATATAAACACTGCCGTAGACCAAAACAAGATTGCATTCCTATACACCTCTGGATTGTAATCCATGAATAGATGGTACAAAAAATTGCTGAAGGAGAACTTACCTGTGCATAAAGATTCTTTATTGGTTTCCACTGTTTACCACTCAAAAGGTAAGGGACGGTTATGCCATAGTGTTCTAGTTGTTTTCTTTGAATCCACTGCCTAGGGGATTCCAGTTTACTTTCAGCAATTTCTCCTAGGATAATTTTTTAAAAATATTACATGTTAGTGAAAGACTGGCACTGGCAGTACAAACTATTGCTAAGTAAATCTGAAAGTATAAACATAAATCAGTAAATATAAAGGCTTATTCTGATATGTATTTTAATAACTTTTTATGTCTTTCTTTTGGTTCCAGTTCGCAGTGATTCCACTTTGAAAGCACAAACAAGATGGACATACAGGAAAAAAGTGTAGAGAAAAAAGTGTGATAGAGCAACAAAGCAACAATAGAAAATCCTTTTTCCTGTTACTCTTCTGATCCATTTGCTTCTTACATTATGATTTTGGATACAATTTTAGGATACTTTACTGCTGTGTGTTATAGAGGCTATTTTTAAATGGCTTACTATTTGAAGGAGTCCCCAATCTAAGTCCTACTTGACAATGAAGAAGCACTAAGATGGGAGAGCATAGGTCTTGATATAACCCATGATGGAGTTATTGTTTGTCCATCACAGCTTCTTGATATCTCCAGTTACATGTCTTAATGGGCTGTTGCTGCCCTGAAGGAGCAGGTTTGTGACTTCGGGTCCTCATAGACCCAGAACTACTGCCAGATGGACAAGTGGAGGCCATGACCAGTGAGTCTTTTGCCAGCTTCATCTGGTATGCCAGCTGCAGACTTAATGGAACAGGAAGATCTCACGACTCATACTGTCATTACTACTCATCTGGATTACTGAAATTCAATCAGCATTTAGGATTGCCTTTGAGGTAATCAATAAGCTTCAATTACTCCAGAATGCAGCAACCCAGATGTTAGCAGGTACTCACCAACATGAGCATGTCACACCTATGCTCTGGGCTCTGCAGTGGTTATCTATTCTGTGTGCAATTCAAAGTGCTGGTTTTGACTTTTAAAGCCCTGCATGGCTCAGCACCAAAATATATCCAAATTTCCTTTGCTGCTCAGTTTTAATCCGCCTGATAGAAAGCGTGCATGTTCCCCCCTTCCATGAGGTACTGGGGACGGACACCCAGAAACATGTTTTCATAGCAGTTGCAGTATTATGGAACTCTTTGCCCCTCATGGAAGATTATTTTTATATGTGATTACTGCTGCAAGACTATTACATGTGCAAAAACAGAATGACACTGAAATACCCACAATGGAGGAATGGTTGGTAAAGATGACAGAACTAGCAGAGATGGCAAAATTAACTTATTTGATTAGAGAAAGATCAACAGTTACATTCATCAGTGAGTAGAAACTCCTTATGGACTTTTTGCTGAAAAAAAGAGAAAAATGAAGTTGTGATTTATGGGTTTGAAGATTAGTTAGAATGGGTAGCTTATGGAAAGAAGGAAATTATGATGTAACTTTAGAGAGAGAGGGCAAAATATAGATGTATCTATAACTGCTGTCTAGAAGATCAGAAGCTGCTTCTTTATAATTTTTCTTTTCCTTTCCTTTTTTCACTATTTACTATTTTTCTTTACTATCTTTATTTTCTTTTATGGTTTTTACTTTGTTAAAAATTTCTTTAATAAAAACTATTAAAAAAAAAAAAAGGAACTCTTTGCTCCCTGAAATTCAATTAGCACATATTAGGCTTTATAAAATTATTTAAAGCACTTTTGGGGATTTTTGATTCTTAAATGACAGCATCTTTTTTCTTTCTTTTTGGTTGGTTGTTTCTATGTTTTTTACTTAAGTTTTTCCCTTTTTATGGCATTTTATAATTGCTTATAGTATTATACCATGACTGTTTTAATGTCATGATTACGTTCTCTTGAGAGTCGCTTAACTGAAACAGGTAAAGCAAATAACTAAGTAAATGTGAAAGTTGTATCATATTTCATAGTTGTTCTTATAAAAGAACCTGTGGACCACATAAAGATAATAGTGCGCTCTCAAGTAGGCATCATTTGTATGAACCAACCCTTCAAACATACATCCATACACACACACTCACATACACACACGTGCTCAGTGAAACTGAAGAGATCTGAAGTAGTCTCACTATATTTTTTTTACATCAATCCACCCACTTCATCCAAATAAAATCTCTTTTGGTCAAGCTTAGTCCCCATGATTTCACGGATATAGCCATGTTTTCATTTTCTGTTTGCCTCTGTATAAAATCTCTTTTGGTCAAGCTTAGTCCCCATGATTTCACGAATATAGCCATGTTTTCATTTTCTGTTTGCCACTGTATTGCTCCAACATGCTTTCTTGCTTT